TGCCCCGGGGACACCTCCTCCTGCCCCCCGGGACACCTCCTCCTGCCCCGGGGGGGGGACACCTCCTCCTGCCCCGGGGTCACCTCCTCCTGCCCCCAGGGACACCTCCTCCTGCCCCGGGGGGGGACACCTCCTCCTGCCCCCCGGGACACCTCCTCCTGCCCCCCGGGACACCTCCTCCTGCCCCGGGGACACCTCCTCCTGCCCCCCGGGACACCTCCTCCTGCCCCAGGGACACCTCCTCCTGCCCCCCGGGATACCTCCTCCTGCCCCGGGGGGGGGACACCTCCTCCTGCCCCGGGGACACCTCCTCCTGCCCCAGGGACACCTCCTCCTGCCCCGGGGACACCTCCTCCACATGGGACACTGCCAGGAGGCACTGGCTTTAGCTGGGAGAGCGCTGCATTTCTTCCCGGTAGCTGGCATGGGGCTAGGTTTTGGATTTGTGCTGCAGACAGCAGAGCTGAGCCAGGGCTGTGTCGGTTATTGCTGAGCAGCGCTCGCACGGCGCCCAGGGCTGTTCTGCTCCTCGCCCTGCCCCAGCAGCGAGCAGGCCAGGGGGGCGCAGGGAGCTGGGAGGGGACACCCTGGGGACGGCCGACCCCGACCGACCCAAGGGATGTCCCAGACCACAGGACCTCACGCTCAGCAATAAAACTGGGGGGGAAGGAGCGGAAAGGGGAAATGCTTGGATCGATGGGGTTTGTCTTCCCAAGTCACTGTCACACATGATGGAACCCAGCTGTCCTGGGGATGGCTGAGCACCTGCCTGCAATGGGAAGCAGTGAATTAATTCCTGATTTTGCTTTGCGTGTGCATGCAGCTTTTGCTTTACCTGTTAAGCTGTCTTTACCTCAACCCACCAGTTTTTTCACTTTTACCCTTCTGCTTCTCTCCAAAGATACACTGAAATCCAGGTCGGCTAGCAGTGCCACCGTCCCCTCCCCGCCACACCCACACCCCTCGTGCACTAACCCCAACAGGAAAGGTGGTGACAGTCACGCTGTGGACCTGCCGCGGGTGTTGTCCACTAAGCTGACACTTTCTCATTGCATCGTCACCCTCAGTCTGACTGCAGACCCAGCCTGCACCCAGCCCAGCCCCGCGCCGGGGCTGCCGTTCTGCAGCCGTGCAGTTTGCAGATCGAAAGGATCACTGTCCATGGCCAGCACTTCTGGCTCTACCCTAATGTCCATCATCCACAACAGTAATGGCATGAGTGCTCCTAATAATTACCTTAAGTGTGTTGCTTCTTTCCCCTTCAGGGTGGTAACATCCCAAGTCTCTTGGTAGCAAAATGCCCTTTGTGGACATTTTGGTAAATGCCAAGATTTTTCTGCGCAGATTTTCGTTTCTAAGGACAATGGGGTTGCCCTTTTCTAACATTCATTTTTCGCAGTCCCATTTCTAAATGGTCTACTGCAATTCAGTGGGAAAAATATCTGTAAAAAATGTCACTGACTGCAGATCCCAAGAGGCACAAGGGACTGAGGCTGACTGACTGATTTTACCAAGTCACTTCATTATTGCTAGCGATACAAGAAAACAGTTACCCCACTTCTTAAAGCAAGTCCACTGGTACTCAGAAAAAGGAGTTATTTTTATTTTTCTTGGTTTTCATTTTAATGGCAGTTAAGAATCATGTTTCAAGGACATTAAAAGATTCAAGCAGTATAGCCTGCCACTAAAAGTCAGACTCTAAACTCTGAACATTTTCATACTTGGCTCTCATTCAGATGAGACCACTAGTCACAGGCCTAAAAATTTCACATATACCACAGCCTCAAGAGCAGCCCCACCATCCTGTTATACCTAAAGCTAAGCCTTCACAGCCCTTTAAATTACCATATCTCTGAAAAAACGGTATTTCACTGCCCGAGCAATTAGGCATCGCTACAAATAACAGGGAAGCCTCACACTTCCAGCGATGGCATGGTCTGCACCAGACCGCAGAGGCATCACCTCCCAGAAGAAGACACCTGACTCGAACTGCACGGACAGAAGCAGAAGCCCCCGCAGCAGCTGACCCAGCACACAAGCCTGTACGAGCCCACAGCGGTGGAGGAGCCAGCCGTTCCCCGGGTCAGCCCAGTGACACCTCACCGCGCGTTCAGCATGGGAAATGAACCCCCAACCTGGTCCTGACCTGCCACCAGCCCCGGCAGCGTCCCTCCGCGGGGTCAGTGGCACGGTGGGAGGACTGTCCCCCCGCAGTCCCTTGCCCGGCAGCGCCCGGCGCCGCCGCAGCGGAGGTGGCAGAGCAGAAGGGGCAGAAGCAGGCAGTACCATGCTCTTCGCTCGGGCTCTGCAGTCCCCAGCAGCTTGCCGGTTTTCCCTCTGCTCAGCCAGCCACCGTCCCAGCGCGGAGCCCATGTCCCTCCACTCTCCGTCCCCCTCTCGCCCTCCAGCCAGCTGCCGGGAGGCTGCACACACATGCTCCACTCTCACCCTCTCCCAGCAAAACAGCGTCGATCCGTGCCAGGCGGGTAAGTCACGCTGCCGGCAGCTCTCAGCGCCAGCATCGCTCCAACGAGTGGCCGGCACGAGCCCCTGTCCCGCTTGCAGCCCTCCTGCGCTATCTATCCCCCGCAGCCCTGCACGAGCAGCCCCGGGGCAGGACGAGGGCTCCTCTTCTGCTCCCACGAGCAGCGCGGCCCACAGCGCCCACGGGCTCTGGGAAAACACCAGCCGAAGGAAGCGCTCCTCAGCATCCTCTTGAGGGAGGCAAAAGGGAGCAGAGAGGCAGGATCTCGCTCGGATGCTGTATTTTATTGGCAAGGAATGGTTTAAAAATAAAGAAACAACTTGAAGGAAATCTGGTTTTTAAGTAGAGATCAAAGCATGGAGATTAAGTGAATATTTAATAAAGCGCATTTATGGGTACTACACACTTGTAGGGGAAGTCCTCGGAGGCTGCCGCTCGGGTCTCCCTGGGGCAGGCGCCTCCAGCCCTCCCTCCAGCAGGCACGGTCTCTCGCTGGCAGGACGCAGGAGGACCATGATTCACGCTTCCTGGCGCCAGGAAGATGCTGAGAGCTTTCCAGATTTGCTGCCTGGATATTCTGATGCCACCAGACAGAAGCCTCATGACTTTATCTTCGTGAGTCAAACCTGAACCCTAACAGCATTTTGTTTCTTGTTTCTGCAGCTCTGCAAACCAAAGACAGAGGACCTGCTTCTTCCCACGAAGATTTTCACCTTTGGGGTAGGTCAAGCCCCTTGGGAGAAGGGTTTTTTTCCTTTCTGCTTTATGTTTGTGGCTTCACCTAGCTCAGCTCTCACTGTTGCACCCTTGCCTGCCTGCCTCTTGCAGAGCAGATGTGGTCAGAGGCAAAGCAGCACCCTGCAGACCCATGGCAGGAGCTGTGCACGGGCACCCTGTGCCCAGCGGCGACGTGGCTGCCAGGGAGCCAAGGAAGAGGCACAGCACCTCCACAGCCACTCGGCCCTGGGCACCCCCTGCGTGAGCCAGAGCCACTGGCTGCCGGGTGAGAGCGGCCGAGCAGCGGGGAAGGGTCAGGGTGGACAACGGGGAAGGGTCAGGGTGGACAACGGCACGCATCTCGTCAGAGGGCAAAAGGAAAACAGCCAAGAGGCTGCCCAGCCCTCCGCGGGAAGCGGTTGCTCTGCACAGGGGGTTTCTGAGGGAGCTCGTGACACACGGCAATAAAGGAGCTAGCAAGGAGCACTGGAGTCCCAACCAGTCCCATGTTCTTCCTAAACCAGAACCCCCAAAGCCTCCTAGCATGGCCTTGCCCAGCACAGTGCCCTCCACAATGGGCCACCCCCATGAGCCTCTCTATGCCACCGCTCCCTGCCCCAGCCCTCTCACAGACTCTCCCAGAAAATTAGTTTGGTGGGGGCTTCAGGTGTCCTCATGCCCCCCAGCAGTTTGAATGCTGCCCAGTGTGTTACAACCACCCAGCTGTGCAAGGACCACTGTGCTGCCAGCGTCCACCTCCTTCCTTCTGTCTCACAGTCCCAAGTGCTGCTGGCCCTGCCCTCCCAGGAACAAAGTCCCCACAGGGCCACATGCCCTCTCAAGGCACAACTCTTAGTAGCAGCAGCTATCTTCTCATGGTTCCAGACCTCTCCACAATTACTGTTTTTAATTTCTTAAGCAAGAAGTGACATCGTGGGACCACTGCAGCTGGCCAGAGGAAGAGCAATGCAAGAGAGAATCCAGCCAACACATGCCCAAGACCAGGTTACCATTTGCATCCCTGATCCTCCAGCTGTGCCAACCCAAGCATCCCTTGTCGCAGAGCCCAGGGGTTTTGGTGGGGTGTCTCTTCTCCCAGGAAACACCCATGTATGCAGAAGCACCATTCCTGACACACTCTCTGTTCTCCAAACACCCAGACAGTCTGTTCGGTGCCTGCACTGTTACTCTTGACACAAGCCTTGATTGCTGCTCATGACATGTGGGACCTGCAGCAGACCAGGAGCATTTTCCACTTCACATGTGGATCCTACCAGCAAAATCCTGACCCAAACGCATGGGTTAAAACCAGAGACAAAGCAACGAGCCCGCGTGCAAAGCAGAGGCATGCTGCAGCCTCTCACCGGGGGAAGGGAAGGCGCACTCCTCAATGTGCACCATTGTGCTCTCCAGGCATTTAGTGATTCCTCCATGCCAGAGAATAAAGCTTCTCTTCAGCTGGCCCATCATGTGTTCCCCGGCCTCACCACCCCACGGAAAGCTGACCCCATGCTCTTCCTGCAAAGGCTAGTCCAGCCACACACCTGCCTGCTAGCACACACAAGTTACCCCTGTGTGGGCACCCTACCATGGCTCGATGGGGTCCCTCAGCTTACACCCCCACCTAAACAACCCCAGGCTTTGGCAAGCACCATCCATTTCTCGTAAGTGCTTTGCAGTCTGGCAAGGAGGGAAGACTGAAGCATCCCAAAGCCTGGTATCCTCTCTGTGATAAGTCATCACCAGTGTCCAACATGCTACCAGGGCTTTGAGCTTGCCAGCTGGACTCCAGCCTTACCTTTGTATGGAGCTTGGCAAACTGCTTGTCATCCAGCAAAGTCTGGGTGTACACACGCCTTTTGTACCGGAACTGCAAGAGGGAAGAATGTCAGATATGAGATGAACAAAACCCACTCAGCACCAAACCACTCTCAAGCAGCTTCAGTGAACGTCAGCTTGCATGAAGACATTCAGTCTAGATCTGAAAACAACAACAGATACAGAATACACTGTTCTTCATAATTTGCTCTGTTAATTGCTCTCCTCGCTAAAGAAAATCTGACCAGTTTTTCATATGAATCTGTCCGGCTTCAGCTTCCAGATGGTGTGGGCTTTGTTCTGTTTCTTCCCAGTTAATTAGGGATCTCTCTAACAACAGGGTGACTTTCTCTAGGATGGTTCTTACACAGGTGGCCTAGAGCCGACTTCCCTGTAAGCAGGCTGAGCTCTAAATCTCTCATTGAGGGATCTTTTCTACTGTTCTCAGATCATTTCTGCTGCTTTTTTCTGTGCTATGCCTCTTTCCAATGTCTTTTCAAGTACACTGACTGCCACCGACACACTGCTCCAATACCAATCATTTCCACCCCAACCACTCCTAAAACCAACTCACTACTTGTCAGGGTACACACTGAAGGATAGCAAGGCCACGCTGTGGCACAGCATCACACTGGGAATTGCTGTTATGTTTCTTGACCAAAAGGCTCAAAATTTTCTTCAAAACTTTGTTTTCCATCATGAGAGTCCCTCCTTTGCAAGAAATCCGTGTCCCTATATGTTTGTCATTTGGCTGACTTCGGGCATACTCTGATGGGACTCCCACTTACCAAATGACCTAGACAGCACAGTTGACACTGTTATATTCTCGGTCAAACTTTGTGTAATCAGACTTTATCAACAGCAATTTTACATTTACACCCAGATCCCTGGGGTAACCACATCAAGCTTGACATTGGTTCCTAAGAAACCCCACTAGAAATACTTCTATGCAGTGATGATCGCAGTGACAACTGCCTTTTTATCATTGATAAGTTAGCCAGTGGCACTTGTCCTACTGATGTTTTATAGTGCTAATCCTGAACTTGAATATCATGTATAACAAAATCAAGTACCCCCAAGTGGCTGCTACCTTTGTATAGTTATCTTTATCAAGCTGAATTACAATTTCCTTAAAGAATTAAATTGGATTTGTTTGACTAGATCTTTTTTCAATGCATGAATTGTATTCTGAGATTTTGAATTGCTGTGAATTTAATCCTCCATCAACATTTCATTATTTCAGCTGGAACTGACACCAGGTTATCTTTGGACTGCAGTTCCTAAGCTCATCCCACTTATTTTTCAATACTGGGAAAATATCAGCACATTTTCAGTCTATCACAAACTTGTACTACTGGGCAGATGTTTTCTCACACAGCTTTTACTTTTTTTTTAATCATTCCAAGGTAGAAATTGTCTTGCCCACTGATTTAAAGGCGCTGGTCCTTTGCAGATGCTGCCAGTGTCAGGGGTCCTGTGTGCATCCCCACGCAGTCCTGAGAGCCTCCTTCTGCAGCTCCTCCTCGGGCCCAGCACCCCGTTAGAGGTTCTGCGGGGCAGGGCTCTGGCTGAGCCGGGGCAGTGCTGCTCTGCGGACCGCTCGCTTTCAGCCTCCCACACGAACTTGCCAGCTCAGGGGAACTCGCCCACTGCTGCTTGCCCAGCACTCGACCCGGGGAAGGTCCTGCGGGGCTCCAGCCGCCCCACGGGACGCAGGGAGGTCTGAGAGGGGGAAGCCAGGCTGCATTGGCTTCGATACAAGAGCAATGCACGCTGCCACCCAGGTGCAAGGCAAAAACCTCCTCTGAGAAGAGTTAAGCTGTGCAACATGTAGTCGGCTACTCAAAACTGAGCAGCAAAACTTCTGAAGAAGCAACTGAAGTGGGCTGTCGACCCTAAGCTAGTCACATCCCAATGGCTTTGCTCAACAGCTTGCCCACAAACCAGACTTGCGTGGGGAGGACATAGAGGCATGAGAATTTCCAAATCTCATTCACATTTACAAGGTGCGTGAACTGAATGTGTGATGATTAATAATGGTGAGAACACAACGATGTGTTTGGCATGCAAACAAAATAACTACCTCATTAAGGAAGACACAATAAGCTTCTGACAGTAGATAACAACCAGTAAGATAATATGGGATACAGTCAATACCCCCAAATGCACATGAGGGAAACTGGATCTCAGCAGATGGGCAGGTTAGACCCCACCACGCATTGCTTTATCACCAACACACTGTGTTGCAGCTGCTATTTTATCCCGATAAGGAACCTGAGTACCTATGGCTCTTGCTGGCATAAAACAGAACCAGCATCCCACCTCTCCACGGAACTACTGCAGATACCTGCTTTTTAGTGTAATTTTTCTGTCACTATGCACAAACCCCTCATTTCTCTCATTACCTTCATATGCAGCCCTGAGGGCTAATTTATCTTTTGTGTTCAAGAAACCTCAGGGGTATCAGCATAGGATTTATGTCTTGTAAATAGATTCTGGATTTTTGGTTTTCCAATAGGATTCTCCAGTGCTCAGCTGCCATTCTTATCTAGTTATGAAGAATTGAAATGACACACAGCAAACGTCCATGTCAAATCTGCATTTAGATGTGTGTGTTAAGACATTATGTGGACATTATGCTACATTATACAAAAACAAAGCATTAAAGCCTGACATTAAGAAATTTACTACCCCATAGGTTTATTTGCAAGCATTCTTAATGTTGTTCCAAATGTTTTTGTCTACATTAAATGTTAGTTTGCTAAGAAATTGTGCTGCACTTTCTTTCCAAATTAGTCGGGATTAGTTATAATAACAGCATTCACGCTTGCATTTATAAGAGCTCGTGCAGCTCAAACATGTAATGCTTTCCAAATACTCTGTGGGTAAAATATAGCACAAGAGCCCTAAATTTAGAGGTCCACACGCAGGTAACTAGACTCCCATTACAGCCAGTGGGGATGTCCACTGTGACAGTCAATGGAGCCCAAGAAATGCTGTAGGTCACCTTAGAATAAACACCTACATGTGATCACCTGAATCCCAACCCAAGGCAAAACCTATAGTGAATGTAAATACAGAGGTAATACAGTTAATTTCTGCTCTAGTTAATTTTCTGGAACAGAAAATAGTATAGATTATCCTCCATGCTCATCACACAAATGAGGTCCATACAAGGACAGTCATTTTGCTGTCAAAGCACACAGATGCATTCCAGCCTCTGCAGTGGTTGTAAATTGAATAAAATATCAAATTCATGTCTTTCAGCCTCCTATGCAAAGATCTCCCTATGGTTTTCCCCCTATATCTATGGGACTGTCTTTCCTTCTGTTACTGTAATTTCCCATAACAGTTATGCACCACTAGAAAAAAAGAAATTTTGATCAACAGGGTCGGAAAACAGGTAAGCTGTTTCACCGGGCTATGACAGATGTTATGGAGCTCTTGATCAGAGTCACAAGCAACTAAAACTCAGAGGCATTTGCCTCAGCTTTCCCTCAATGAATTCTGTGTGAGTAAACATACACCCACACAAATTTCTATGCTCTTACTCCTGGAAGGGAAATGGGGAAAAAAAAGGGGAGATGGACAGGGGCATTAATATCTGTGGTGCCTACAGAGACTACAGTGGAAGGGACCATATAAGTCCTACATACTTATGTACGTATTATATATATGTATGTATGTATGTATATATATCTGTAGATGTATATATAGATATACACACATTGAAAAAAAACAAAAAACAAAAAACAGATGGTTACCTCCAAGTAGGGGACAGGAGTGTCTGGATTCAGGGGGTACTCCCTCAGCAGGCGCTCCTCATCCAGAAACTTCCCAGCCCTGCCGTTGAAGGCTGGCTGGAAGAGCCCGTAGTTCAGAACATCCTTCAGGCTGTGGTTCAAAATGCAAAGGATGCGCTGCTTGGAAACCCACACGGGAACATCTGGGTTCAACCGCAGACACTTCTGTGGAGAGACACAGAGGACAATTAGAGCCGAGCATCACTGAGGTCCTGTACCCATAGCTGCACCCAGAAACAGCCACAGTAAGAACCAAGAGAAGGATAAAATGGGAAAACCACAATCTTTTCCATGTCAGTGGATTACGGAAAGGGGGAAAAGAAGAGTTAGAGAAGGATGAGACTCAGCAGATCCCCCCTAATGCACCTTGTAGGGTTCAGGGCAAACTCAAACACTGTACGTTGTAACATCCTATAAAATATGAGAAGCATCAAAGAATATTTTATGGCCTAATAACAGTATAATAGCAAAACTTCATTTAAAAATCCCCAGTAGAGTGTAAAGTCTATTGACTTCTCCACCACGGGCTTCAGAGGTGCGCAGACAAAGGAGGGGTGCACAGCAGCACTGTGAGCCCTGCCAGGAGCTGCCCTCTGCCTCCGTGCGACCCGGCGGGATTCCCTGGTCCTGTAAGCAGTTCCCCTCCCTCCTCAGGACCCAAGTCATCAAATATTTACAGCCCATCCCCTTCAGGCTGTATCTCTTCCAGCCGCGGCTCCCGGCTGGCTGCGGGGCCGGGGCTGTGGTGCTGGAGGAGCAGCCAGCCGTGTGAACTTGCCTCGGCCAGAGCCCGCCGAGCCGCCCAGCCCGGCACAGGAGCTGCGGCACCAGCGCTGTACCCCCTCCGCCACGGTGCCCGGGCCACAGGCTCTCGCTGGTGAAGAGCAGGGAGGCAAGAGGGTGACACACTGGCAATGTGAGAGGTTGGTCTCACAACAGCCTGTCCCCGTCAGCAGCCACCGTTTCCCCTCCCAGCCCCCTGGTTTTGCGTTTTGGCCCTCAACATTTCCCTGTTCCCATCACTTTGTTTTCCTCCTTGTTTGTTTCTCCTCCCCCTCCACACTTTCTGTGGGAGGAGAACACAGCGTTTAGCCTTGTTTCGGCATTTCATTTCAAAGCCACAGCCTGTCAGCCCTGTTTAACACTCCTGACTTTTTGTGCTAGAAGACAAAGTGAACAACCAACCTCCCTGCCTCTGCACTGCTCCCCCAGCAGCTGCTGCTTTCCCAGGCTGAGTCCGGCTCCACTCATCACACAGAGGCACTCCACACTTCTGTCCAACCTTGTTATTCCCCTAGGCCACATCATCACCCTTGCAACAGGAGACTGGGGGTACACGCCGTGTCCAAGGGGTATGAGCAGCACAGATCCACACAGCAGCACGAGCACGTTTTGCCCATGGAAGCGTTGAAGAGCCGAGGCCTGAATACAGACATCTATTTGGACTTACAGACAGACAGACCAACCCGACCCCCACCTTCTCCATGTGCTCAGCAACACTTCCCGCAGCTGGAACAGACCCACAGCAGCACCAGAGCTCCTGCCACCGCCGCACCACATCCCCTCCAGACCAGGAGAAGAGCATTCACCCTGGGCATCAGAAGTAACTGCACATCCTCACTCACCCCTTCAGCCCGACTTCCAACTTCAGAATTTAACCCCAGGGCCTGTTTCAGTCCCCTGACCCCTTAATAGCATCTTTTTGGTTCTATGAATGGAATGGGCACTGTTTTGAAAAAATTAAACAGCTTTGCCCATTGAGAAGAAAGTGCTGCTGCCAGGGCACAGGGCAGGAGCCAGCAGAGCACCCGCGCTGCCCTGCACAGTGCCAGCCTGCCTGGAAAAGCCACCGTGCGAGACAGAAAGCCACCGAGCTGATGTTACAGCTCATTTTTCTCAGGCACGGATAACTTGCACTTGGCAGCGTGCATTTGTACTGCAAACAGAGGTCAGCATTATCTATTTCATCGCTGACCGTATTAGTGAGTCAGCATGCTTATCAACTACGGCTTGTCCTACTGCAGGTGCTAAGGAAGAGGCGAACAGTTGCTGGTGTGAGAAATCAGGAGTTCAAAATCTTTGAGAAACGCCAGACCTGATCTCTTTCAGTCCTCAAAGAGAACTAGAATACGCATTATTTTTTTCAGGGACCCATAAATAAAAGATAAACATTATCTATACCTTTCTACATGCTTATTTAGCCTCTAGGACTCTTCCTCACTGACAAATTCTGTTGTTCAGTATTAAAATATATAGCTAATGGAAATAAAGGCACTGACAGGCATGCACCCATGCACAAGCATAAGCATTGGTTGAAGGAAGGTCCCGGCATAAAACCCACTGAATTTTATACCAAACTTTATACTGCAGAGGCATATTCTGGGGAGTATTAACATTTCATATTTAAGAGAGAAAACAACTTCCACTGTGCAGTGTGTCTCTTTCTGACTTTAACCTGCATCAGAAATCAGAAGGAAGGAAATGCCTACTTCGGATCTGAGGTCAAAACACTGCACAGCCCTTTGTGGGCATAATCCAGCTACTTAAATGTCTCTTATGACTCTGTTTCTCCAAACACCATCACGTGTATTAATGACTATCTCCTATCGGAGATCTCACAACTAAACTTGCTTATTCCAGTCCATGATGCAGCACAGCCACTCTGGGAGCAATCCAAAAACACAAGGCTAATCCCACAAACCCCTGCCAGAAGGGCTGCAAGGGACGTATTTGTGCAGCCTAAACGCTCAAGCCTGCAGGGATTAGCAGGAGAAAGCTGCTTTGTGCACGGGGGGACAGGGCTCACTTGCTCCAGGGCTCCTCTGCTTTCCGTCTCACGGAGGGGGCACGTTGCTCTCCTCCAGCCTCCAACACAGCCAGGACAGCCCCGGCACCTCCCACACCCGCACCGGGCTGATCCCGGGCAGAGCAGGGCCTGGCTGCCCGAGCTGCAGGAGCCGTGCTGGGCACCGATCCCATCCCATCAGGGAGAGGGGCTGAGCTCGGACAGCGTGGGCACCTGCCACCACTGCACAGAGGGACCCAGCCCAGAGCCAGCACTGCACAGCAGCTCCCATGGGCAGTGAGTAGCTCCCAGTCCCGAGGGTCTGAACACTCACATCAACAGTAATTTTAAGAGGCAACAAGTTGCCTTGTAGAGTCCCGACCTTGCAGGGGAAGGGAAGGTCTCTGCCCCTTCCTCTTGATGCTGTTCCCAGTGCCAGTCCCCAGAAGACCCAGGAGGGATCCCGGGGAGCCAAAGGAGGTACCTCCAAAGGGAGCACCCTGCAGCAGCACCAGTCCCACGTGCTGGATGGCCCAGCACCTGCAGAGCCCACCCTGCAGCCGGGCAGGTCCCAGAGCTGACACACAGGCTTGGAGCTGGGCAGGCTGGCAGCAGCTTTCGGAACACGCTGCTCACTGGTTTGCAGTTACAAGCGATAATTTCTTCCATACAATTATAAACTCTGATCACAACAGACAAAGCCTTAGGAACAACTCCTGAAAGAAAATGGTACAGCTTCTCAACTTTCAGACAGCATGGATGACTCCTTCCTGAAGTAAGAAAGAGCTCAGAGCTTCAGATTCAATCCTGAGCAAGGCACAGGATGACAGGCAAGATCTATTCAAAAGCCACCCTGCAATAATGACAATAAAGAACTTACATTCAACAATCCCTGAAGAGCAAAAAAGCCAAAAATTCTTCATTGAAGAGCACACAAATGAGAAAGAGTTGAAAGGAAATTAAAAAGCAGCAGCTGAAAAGGTACTGTGCTTTCAGGCAGCAGGGAGTATATTTCATAATACCACATTAGAAGCTCTGAGCAAATGTATGGCAAAAATGAAAAAACAGCCCCTACAGAAAGATGGAGCAGCCAAACCAACAGAGCAGAAGAATCTGTCAAAAGTGAAAGATTTCCTTTAGAAAAATGGGAGTTGCCTCTGAATGGGAACAGAAGAGAACACAATCCTGCCACACCACATGCAAAATGACAATGGTATTGCAGTCATCAAAACTAACAAATGCAGAGGAAGAGGGGAGCCTGATGGAAAGTGGGTGAGGCCGGCAAACAACTGAGGCACAAGAGTCATCCAAGGAGGAGTCCCGGAGCTCCTCCCTCGAGGACCAGCTGCAGGATGGGCTCCTCGCTGATCACCATCACAACAGATGGCAACGCAAAGGGTCTTGCAGGCAAGATATGTGAACTCCCCACTAGATGCACGAGCACAGCAGCTTTGAGAACACGACTGCAAGTGGCGCTGATCACCCGTGCACGGCGCTGGCTGTGCTCTGTACCACAGTGTGCAAACCCTCCCGGGAGCAGGAGCAGAGCACAGGCGGGAGACACTGACACCCAGGAGCAGATCTGCGATTCTGCCATGCTCCGGGCCCAAAGGAGCTGCGACAAACATTTACATTGCTGCAAAATCTGCTTATTTTCCATAAAGTCATGCCTCACACCTACAAGGAGAGCCTGGAGGAAACCCGCACCTATCAGAATAAGGCTGGCCTGCTTACCAATACGCACGTGTGTTTCCAAAATGTTTTCAGCAAGGTCCCTTGCTGCCATAAACTAAAGTGTCAGAAGCAAGAAAGCACTCTTTTGATCCCTAACCAACAAGGAAGAGAATAAACAAAGGTGAAGGTCAACCAGGCAGGTTTCCTGACATGGGAGTTCATCAGCAGAGTCACGTGGAGCCCATGCTGCGATCTGGGCTGAAGTGATGCAGAAAGGGCTGCTATGACACTCACAAATTGGCAGCACATCCAGATCTTCTACATCATGTGCAGGTCTGGTGGCCCTGTCTTTCAGGAAACAACAGAAACAGGAAAAAGGTAAAGGGAAAGAAGACAAAGGTGACCAGAGGCACTGAGCAGTCTGCACAGGACAAACGCACCACGTCTGAACTTGGGGCTGGAGCCGGGCGTCCCGGAGCAGTGCGCAGTGCCCCCAGCACCCAGCCGGGTGCTTGCACCCAACAAGCAGCGGGTCCTTGTAACACTGGGACTGGGACAAAGTTACAAGAACAGATTCTGTGTATAAAACAAAGAAGCCCAGGTAACTTTTTCACCTGTTCTTAAAAGATTATGCTTGATTTCCTCCAATTACACATTTTTTCGTCCCGATTACTCGTTAAAACCCTTCAGCAGCAAGCTCTTCCTG